TGGTGTTTAGCTCAATTTTTCCTTCTGTCTCCTGGAGAAAAGCATGACCAGCAAGGGCACAAGAGCATGTCAGTCTGGATGGTCCCAAATGTGTCCAAAGTCTGAACTCAGAAACATTAATACAATACCCATTTCTGTCAGCTGGTGTTTAGCTCAATTTTTCCTTCTGTCTCCTGGAGAAAAGCATGACCAGCAAGGGCACAAGAGCATGTCAGTCTGGATGGTCCCAAATGTGTCCAGTTTGAACTCAGAAACATTAATATAATACCCACAATATACTGCACTCCATATTATTACTGAGCATATTAAACCCAGCCCAGGAGCGCTCCGGAGCTGGAGTCTCAGAGAATGTTTGGCTGCTTTGTTCCAGGCACTAGATGTCAGTGTTTTACCTACATTTACAGAAATTTCCAGCCACTGGGAATGCAGAGGTAACAACAAATAAATAAATATACAAATAAATAAACAACGTAAAGCATCTGCAATACCAAAGCCAAACCTCTCCTCCTCTCAGGTGCTCAAAAGGAAGTAGACTTTGCCTTCTCCCCAGTTTGTTTATGCCCAGAAACATTAATTTAAAGAAGAGCTGAAACACATCCATGACACCAAAACTACCTTGAGATATAAATATATTATATATGTATATATTTTATCTAATATAAAATATTCCTGTGTTTGCTAAGAGCTGCAAACAGACCTGACCAAGAAGTTTTAATGTTCAGAAAGAAACACACCCATTTCTTTGAAACCTCTTTTTTCTACAATGTATAGCATACAATTCACCCTGAAAAAGAAACTGGGAAAATGGGAGGTTTTAGCTATTAGACAAAGATTCATAATTTTGTCAGAAGCAATTTTACTAAGTTCTTACACTGCTTTTAAGTCCAGGTAACAAAATGGCATCAAACATATTTACAATATGAACTAAAGATGGTATCTTCAACATTTGGTTCATGTCATCTCTCCTTTAGGTTTGAATTAGAAAAATCAAAAATGTCTCAAATCAAGCTATTAAGAAAAATTGTACTCAGGGTTTTTGTATTCCATTGTCATCTCAATATCAGATTACCACTATGTTATATAGTTCAAAATACAGTCATACCCCTACTCCTTGTGCATGCAGTCTGTGTGCACAAATCACTTCTAAAAAATATCATTTACAGTAGCACAAATGCAGTTTAAATTAGCCCGTGCAAACTCCCCAGGCAGCAATAACTGCAGGGACTAGGAGTTCCCCTTGCCTTCCAGCAGGTCCTGCCTCTGATGTGTCACATTTCTGCTCCTCTCCCCAAAGCCTCTTTGCTCCCATTCTTTCCCCAACACAGGGATGAAGGAGAGCATCCTCTCACCTCCCTCTGACTCCCACAGGTGCTCCATGCTGGACAACCACAGCATGTTTTCTTTTGCCTTTCAGAGCACTCATACATCAGAAAAAGTGAAGCAATTAAAACAACCAGCCCACACAGTGAAAGATGAACACCATCTGCAAACTTTAAGGGTATTTTTTGTGTTGTCTTTTGCCCATCAGTTTACATATATCCTCCATCTCACTTTGCATATGTTAACTGAATGAGAAATTGTCCTCCATAAAATAAGTAAATCCTCTTTTTTTTTTTTTTCCTAATCCTCCAGCCTGCCTATACATTACAATCAATAAAGAATTGCAAGTATGAGGTGGTAGCTGTACCCAAGAGCAGCCTATGGGTCTTGGGGGAAAGGTAGGGGGTGCCTTTTCTACAGAAGGGTCAGTGTTAATCTTGTTATGTCATGCCACTGTTCATAAATGAAGTGTTGCAAAGATCACACAGATTCTAAGCAAGTCTGGAAAGCTAGAAAACGTCACTTCACTGAAAGGAAGGGGATACACTCACAATTTAAATAAAATCTAAGGCTATGCTGCCCTCTAGAAGAATAAATCAAGGACCTTTGCATTTCAAATAATAACACAGCCAAATACAATGCTACATTTATGCCTTATTTTTAGACAAAGCCTGGGCAAAATGAAAAAAAATTACAATTTTCTGGTCTATTTCCTGAAGAATAAAGAAAAAAAAAAACAATAAAACCAAAATTAGACTATCAGTGACCATCTAATGATCCATCCTATACCATATGCTGAAAAGTCATTAGTGTTGCCTCAGCCTGAAGAATCTGTGTTGAATCAGTGTGGTATGAACGAGTCAAAGCAAATCTAATCGCTGTGGGCTACATGATATCCCAACATGTGCTGAGGAAGACTGGCATCTGCTACTCACAATTAGCAGGGAGGTTTTCAGGGAGGAATGCATCTGCCAGGCAGACCCAGGACCAACAGGATGGAGCACGAGCAAAGAAACAGGAATTTCCTCCCTTTTTAACAAGAAGCACAGCTTTTTAAATAAAAACATTTCCACACACTGAAGTGGTTTCTCCAAAAAAAGAGGTGGAAAGCACAGTGGATCAGAGTTTTCAGTGTCCCACTGTCACAGCAGGTGACTGGAGATCTCTCCCAGATGTTTTTTATTCTGCTGCTTTAACAGAGGCTTGGGGGGGTCACTGTTAATACAGGTTTGAAGGAAAGATAATACAAATTGACATTTCAGCTGTTGATTGGATGGAAGCAATAAATCATACAATCAACCATAAAAAGCACAGGACAAAACATCAATTTGTGGGGAAACCCAGTCTCCGTGAAAAGCCAAGTCAGCTTACTGGGAGAGAAAGGAGAGCCAGCAGACAGACACTGCAAGAGTCTAAAAACCCACAGCAAGTTTAAAAATAAACTGTGTCAGAGCACTTGTCAGCACCTGGTGTGTGGCTTGCCAGAGCCACAGCTCCTGATGACATCAAAAATGCCCCATCAGAACAAAGTGGTGCTGAAGGAAAACTGTGACAGCCTTTCACTCCAAAGCAGAAGCACCCAAACCTCTCAAACCTTGTGAATGAGACATCAGCCATGAACTTTTGGGTGGCAGCTACTGCTACCAGGCATCTCTGCACTGCAGGCTAGTCACTCCTCAAACTTCTCCTTACAGTCACTCTAGTTTGGACAGGATACAGCTGATGGAGAGCCCTCAGACATCCCACTGCTGTCTAGAGACATTTTTCATAAAATGGTCTCCTTCTTTGGAGACCACAAAAGCATAGAAGAAATATGAGCCTTGGTATCAGAGGCAGAGAGGAATCAGTGTTGCCCTGTGCAAGGCTGAAAAGGTGAAAAAGTTTTCAAGGTGGAAACATACGTAGATCAGCCCCAGGGTTTTTACTCCCTCCTTTTTAAAGCTGTTCATGATTCAACTACAGCCTCCAACAAACGGAAAAGATTTGCCTTCTTTCCTGGTCCTAGGAAACCAGTGACAGAACAGTTACTGAGACTCAAAGGGCTGATTCTCAACCACTCCATATAAAGCCATTAATAGGTGTGATTTCAGGCAACTGACCAGTATTTGCTAGTGGTTTACATTTATATTTTATCTTTAAAGGTTCTTCCCCTTTCTATCACATTCAACAGCATCTCTCTTTGTGGCAGAACTTCAGAAAGGGGTCACTTGCCACTGAGCCACACCTAAATAACACTGGATGAGCAGCCAATTTTTCACCTGCACAGCAGCAAAAGAAATAAATCTTCCTGACATTAAACCTTTCTGCTGAAGAACCTCCCACCAATGACACAGAGAAGGCAGCAGAGGTAAAGGATGCTGAGCCAGAATAGCTGGTGTGGGCTTCAAATGGAGTGGTAATTGGACAGTGTACACGCCTGAGGTAAAAGTACTTGTAAAGTTAAACCTTTCTGCTGAAGAACCTCCCACCAATGACACAGAGAAGGCAGCAGAGGTAAAGGATGCTGAGCCAGGAATAGCTGGTGTGGGCTTCAAATGGGGTGGTAATTGGACAGTGTACAAGCCTGAGGTAAAAGTCAGTACTTGTAAAGTTTTTTTTATTTTCTTTATATTCAAAGACAAATTGACTGCAAGAGCCTGAGATTCTGGTACTGTTTGGACTGGGGGAATTTCTGTTCACTCCTTTTTCCCTCATCCTACTACTAGACCTTCAAAGACTCAAGTGATCATCTAAATTTTAAGACTCCTTGAACATAAGGAATTCTGTGCTTGGAGCAGTTCTGTGTTTGAGCAAGTTTTCAACCATTTGAATGGCACAAAATGAGGATGCAGACACAGATGTCTGTCCAGGATATGGAGCAATATCCTTGTCCCATGCTCACACCTGTGTGCCCAAAGCAGCCCAGGAACCCAGCTCCAAAGCTCCCCTCCCTGGGAAGGGTTAAAACCAACTCTTTAGAGCATCATACTGTTACCCATTAATTCCCTAACAACTATCATTTGTCAGCTCTAAGAGAGCCGTGGAGTTTCTCATTTCCTACATCAGTGGCACTCAAATTCAGAGAGCAATTTCAGCATGTTCTAGGTTCTGCATCTGTAACTCTTCTGAGGAACAGGGAGCAGTTCTTTGGTGCCTTTTGGTGTCTGGGGCAAGTAATGTGCCAACAGCCCTCAGAGGTACACATCAGCATCCTACATCCACTGAATGCAAATGTTTTTGGGTTTCTGACAGGATTTTTTCAGACTATATAGTGAACTACAATTAACTTTGAGGAAAACAGAATGGATAATTTCATGCCACATTAAACTCATAATTTCTTTCTGCATTTCTGGACTTGGACAACATTGTTCCTACCCCTGCTCAGCCTTCCACAGCCTCACACCCAGTACTGTAGGGCAGAATTAATTAAATACAAACCTTCTCCTTGTAAAAGCACTGACTAAGGTGTGTCAAATCCTGTCTCCTCAGATGCATAAAAGGACCTTTAAGTTATCTAAACACTTCCAGAAAGTGTTGAAACACACCCCAGATCACAGCAGTGGGAACAGGCACTCAGGGTGCTCATATCCCCAGGTTCCCAGTGCTCCTGGAAGTGTGTCTCTGTAAAATCTGGTTTGGGGTCAGTCCCCTCAACAGCATCAGGCCACACCACACTATTTCTGCTCACCTTTGAGGCTGACAAGACACAGAAGAGAAGTCTGTGTCCCCATAGCATAAGACCTTGTACCAGACAAGGAGATGTTTCCTCTTCCACAGCTGCACCTTCTGAGCAGGCTGCCAGGAAAAGCCAGGTCTGTACCAGCTCATCCTCTTCTCCTGAAGGGATACAGTGGGAGGGCAAATATTCAAGACATGAAGGACACATTTCAAAGGATCATATAGGAAAAAAAAAAAAAAAAGAAAGCCTTAGGTTACAACCACAGAAAGGTCCCCCAGCTCAAAACTCACACAGACAACTAAGAACAAACAGCCCCACTTGCTCCTTTTATCCACACAGGACATCTCCCATCAGGTAATTTTCAAATCACTTTCATTTACAACCAGCTTCCAGCCAGGAGTCCTGGCCTTCCCTCTTCTCCTACCACAGGTCTCAAATCATCTTAGAATCACAGGATCATTTAGTTTGGGAGAGATCTTTGAGATCATTGAGTCGAGCTCTGCCAGGTCCACCACTAAACCACATCTTCAAGTGCCACATCCACACATTTTGTTGCATGGCATATCAGCAAGGACCACGTGAAGCCTCCTGAAGCATCACTGGGCTCCTTGCTTCACCCTGGGGAGAGTGACACTTCAGGAGATTTAACAGGGAACAGAAAGTACCTCTGGTAGTGCCAGAAAAATACTGCTAAAAGAGAAGGCCAAAAAGAAGAAACTCCTGAGAATGTAATTTGCTGAAATGGCAGGGTTGATGAGCAGAAAACAAAGCTTCTTCAGCACGAGAAGTTTCAGTGCTTTGGGCTCTCAGAAACTCTCCAGCAGTTCTGCAAGGGGCTCAGGAGCACTCCTGTCAGGAGGATGTGGTTTTTCCAAATACCTGGAAGGGAAGGCAGCTGCAAACCCATTAAAATCACATCAACAGCTCTTTTAGCCTCCTCAGTGGGGAGCCAGGGCTGCCTCTCCAGCAGGTGACTGCACCTGAGAAACTTCTCAATACTTACAGGGAAATGCCAGAGAAAATTGAGGGAAAAGGGACCCATCCCTTCTGTTTGCCAGAAAAATGCAGATTTAAGGGCATTTTCCATAAACCTTGTGCATTGCTACCGAGTCAGTGAATGCCAGGAAATTTTACCAGCCTTTGGCCCTGAGCATACATTTGGACCCCAAATCAGCCACTAATCTCCTCTGGCCCCAGTTTGCACTCAGCTCCTTTTGAAAACAGGAGTAAGTAAGATTTCTGAAGTGGATTTCCAGTTTCTCCCACAGTTGCCCCTCTCACTTCATATGAACACCTTAAAACATAATTCTAAGAACATATTTATGTAAGAACACACACTGCATGTCCTGAGAGCAAAACCAATTCCTAGGATTTTCTGTTTCATAATGATGGCAACAGCTCTCCTGACTAAAGGCTGGTTTTTTTGCTGCTTCATGCCAACCTTGATCTTCTTTTACCCTTTGTGTAGAGGGGCATGGTAAGTGTGTGTTCACAGACTTGGGAACCACATCATGGTGCTTTCTCCTGCCACTTATCATTCAGCTAGCTTTTAGATGAAAATATTAATCAAAAAGTGCATCCTCACTGTAGTCATGCATTTTCACACCTGAAAGTTGTTTCAGGTCTCCTTTTCATTTCCAGGGGTGATTTGCCAGTTCTTCCAGGATGTCTTTCCCACCCTCCTGGAGCTGCACGTGTAAGCTTGCCTGTCTCATCTCCTTTGGTTCAACCAGAATTTCATGTCCAAACCTTGACAGTCAAATTGAAAACCTTGTGTCCTCTCCCCACTCCCAAAGTCAACATGGCCCATGAAACCTCACAGAAGGAGCAACTGGGAATAAAATTCTCCTTTAAGAGCCTCTCCCTCCTTCTGAAGTGGATAACCTATTTTGTCAGAATTTGAGAACAAGCTTTCTTATCTTTTCCAAATAAATTTTTTGACAAAATTTAAGTCTTTTTCCCCCAAGAGCATGGACACTCTTTGTAGGTAACAAATATATGGACCTGCTAGCAGGAAACCACATAAATTACTATTTTAGCAGCATCCCATAGATCCTTTGTAATAGAGGCTCTCAAAAAGGCTTTGTTCCTTACATCATCTCACACCATCTGACATAAGAGTCGTTCCTGATGCTATTTTTAGTAAACTAATCTGTGTTTGGTGGCAATTTTCCCCCTCAAATATTTCTGAGTGTTTGATAACCAGCACAGTCCCCATGAGCTGATCATTTGTCATCCTAAGTGACCAGAGAAGGTCACTTATGGCCATTTTAGCACCTCCCAGGACTTAACTCTCATGAAGAAATGATGGTCCTTATTGAAGGTCAGTAAATAAATTGGCATGAAGTTTCCAAGACAAATTGTTCCAGAATATTGGTTTCATCTTGGGTCACAGGGAAGAAATGACACCTGCTTGGACTTAGGAGCACACAGAGGTGCCAAGGAGCAGGACAAGCCTGTGAGAAATCAGGTTCTCCTGCATCCATGGCAGACAGAGCCACTGAGGCCACCTGCCAGGGTCTTTGTCACTCCACTAGGAATCATGCCTTGGAATGTGTTCTGTTTTTTCTAAGCATTACAGCTTAGAGAAATTTAGGAACTCGGCATCACCTGGTTCATAGCAAGGAAATGAGGCATGTCTGGATTGGCTCCATATTTGTACTCCCAACCAAAGCATGCCACACTCTCAGAGCAGATTTTCTTGTTCCACACCACTTGGTTGTCAAAAAGCACTGGAAAGGCTCCCAAAAATGCTTGCTGTGGCCTCTACAAACCTCTGTCCCTCAGGATCAGAGCTTCTCTCTTGGGCCACTAACTCCTAGGGATGTGATTTCACATTGCCACCCAGACCTTTAGAGCTATCTAGTCCTGGAAAGAAAATCCTGATGGAAGATTTTGAAGTATCTGTAGCAAAATTGACACAGAAGGCACAGCTGCTGGGTCTTAGGGGGTGTGGGTCTGCCCCAGCCCAGATGGGATTTACATGGGACAGGTACAGCACATTCTGGTCTGCACTCACAGCTCTGGCATCTCATCTTGAAAAGCAACCATTTCAACCTCTGCAAAGCTCCTGCCATTGCACTTCAGCCAGTCACAGTAACTGGAAAAAGCTCCTAAATTATAGCATGGCTGCCTCAGAATGATGGCCTAGCCCACCTTGATTTACAGCCCTGGAGCAAACCTGAAAGGTTTGATGTTCTTGCAGTCCTTCAAACCTCGCCATTAGAGTCTCCATCCTATTTATCCTCCGAGTTTGTCTAGCAACTGGAAGAAGTACTTGGACTGTTTCTGAGCATTATTTCATATGCTGCAAGAGAAATTGGTCCTGTAGCTATAATCAGATTACTTCTTACCAAGGACCCTGTGTAAAACCTCTGTGGCACTTGCTGTTATTCCTACAAAATGCCCATTTTACTTATTTTCCTGCATCCAGAAAATGGATCATTTTAAATATCCATGTTTAACTTGTATACATTTTTTTTTTCGAGGATTTTAATAGGATTTGTCATCATCTGTAAAGCACCATGAAATGTAATATTTTCCCCAGAACAGGGTGTGAAATTTGTCTACCTTATCAGAAATTTGTGTACAACTTGCTTCCTGGATTAAGTGCTTGACTCACTGAATAGCTTCTTCTCACACTAAGTGGATCCAATTGGCATGTTAGGAAACACATGGTTCTTTTTTCTTGTTCTAATGGTAGTCACAGCCTCAGAAGGGATGCATGACATTTTATTGTGCATGCATATGTTTATACTTAATTGCTGGAGCTTAAGGAAGAACATTATGTCTAATTCCCTGCCTGAGTGGCTTTATTGCACTTGAGGCACACACACACAGCTACTATACCAAGACATCTAGAAGCCTTGAATGCAACCCAAGATCCTGAAGATGCACAAACCCAGGGGAGAAATGGTCCCTGACCAAGGATTTCATGAGCAAAGGAAAAATAAGGACAGTGACTGGCACACACTAGAAGTTCCACATGTGACCATTAGCAATGTCAGAGCACCAGTGACCTGTAAACAGCAGATTTCCTCTACCCAGAAGATCCCCAAATGCAAAATAATGGGTTGTTTCTAGGTTTGGGGCTTGCTCATCTTCTGAAAAAGCAACTTCCAGGAAAGAAAAAAAAAAAAAAAAAAAAAAAGGAAAAATTCCCAAAAAACCTCAAACCCAAAGTGTGTTCTGATGATTGCCCCAGACTATAATTTAGTCTTGTGCCTGCAAGTTTCAGGTTTTGTTCAGGTGCATAATGGTGTGGTGGAATGCTTCCCAGCAGTCCCCCAAAACACTCTCTGTAATAACAGAGAGATCATTTATTGGAGAGAATGAGCAGATTCTTGCATAAGCCTCTTTTGTATGAGAAGTCTCAAGGATATGAAAGCAGCAATTATTCTCACCTTGGCTAATGCAATTAAGAAATTCTGAAGTACTGAGAAAATGGTGGAGCAATTAGACTTTGAACACCACCTAGCTATGAATTGTCATTTGCCAGTGAGCTATAGTTAGATCAAATGAAACTGGAGATGGGGGGGATGATCTGGGAGCAGTCAGAGGCAGTGGGGCAGGGCTTTCCCTGCAGTTTGTTACAGAGCTGCAGCTGAGCCCTGCCAACCACCACCATGAGTTATAAGCACTCAGCCAGCTTTTGGAGCACTAATCAGGTGGTTTTTGCTAACTTAGGCAGAAAGATTACATTATTTTAGTGATAACTGCAGAACTAATTCTACTCCCAGTCCAAAGTTAGAATGTGTTAGGTAATAAGAAAAGTGCTGCTTAACTTAAATCTCTCATGCTGACTGCAGCTTTTGTCAAAGAGGAGGTTGGTTCTAACAAGAGGATCAAAATTTGAACAATTTGCCTTTGACAGGAGGTAGAAGAAGGCCTTGCAGGATTACTGCAGCTTAAATGTCATCATTAAGAAGCAAAGCAGTCCTTGGATAAGTGCTGCATTGACTTTAAGGCAAAGGTATGGACTGCAGAAGAGCACAGGCAAGAGCACGTGTCCAGAAAACAGTGGAAGATGAGACAATATAGAAATCACTTCTATTAACAGGAAGGAAATTACTTCTTCAAGATGCTCATGAATGGTGGAAGTGTCCAGAGGTTTAAGTTTAGATCAAGAAGGAGATTGATGATGAAGATGAGAGTGAGAAACAGCAGGTGGCTGGGGAGGGTGAGGAGCCTTCTTTGCACCCATCCCTGGGAGGTGTTTGATGTGACAGATGTTGCCTCAGCAGAGAGGGAGTGGATGACCCCTGAGAAGGCTGTCATTTTGGTATCCTCTTTTTGTGAGCATGATACTCCTGAATAGTCTGAGAATTTTGTTTCTCCTGACACTGCCCGGAGTAAATCCAACCACCCTCCCCTGAACCTACCGAGCAGGACAGGGCAGTACAGGGGGGACCTAATTGTGGCCTTCCAGTCCCTGAAGGGTGCTTAGAAGAAAAATGGGGCAAGACTACCTACAAAACCCTGTAGTTCCAGGACAAGAAGGAATGGGTTCAAATTGAAAAATAATAGTTTTAAATTAAATATGAGGGGAAAATTGTTGACTCTGAGGGTGGTGAGGCACAGGCTGCCTGGGAATCTGTGGATGTCACATCCCTGAAAGTGCTCAAGCCCAGTTTGGTCAAGGCTTGGAGCAATTTGGTCTTGTGGAAGTGTCCATGCCCATGGCAGAGGGGTGGAACAAGATGATATGCAAGGTCCTTTCCAGCCCAAACTAGTCTTTCCCTGTGATTCTGACTGGTCAGATATTGATTGACCAGTCAGATTCTGACTGCTCAGGGTCCTAACAGAAGATGCAAGCATCAGGGATTATGCAAGTAACAGGTTCACATTTTATTCCTGCACCCAGACCTCTCCTTGACTTGTGACTCAAATTGGCTTTTAGAGTCACAGAATTATTTGGGTTGGAAGGGACCTTAAAGATCATCTCACTCTAACCCCCTGCCATGGGCAGGGACACTTTCCTCTAGGCCAGGTTGTTCCAAACCCCATCCAACCTTCAGTGACTCCTGCACTCAGCAGTCTGAGAAGCTCAACTCTTTCTCTTCTCACTATTAAGTTTCCCATCACCTACTCCTCCTATCACACAGCCAAACCTTCTCGGGGGATAAAACTCTCGCCATGCTTCAAGCACTTTGAAAAAGAATTTATATCCACAGTGTAAAACAAACAGTATTTCAAAATCATTTTGGAAAAACAATTCAGTGAAAATCCAGATGAGTCCTGTCTTTCAGTTGGCTTAGTTATACTTGATTGCATTTGCTAGAGCGTGGATGCAATTTCAGATTTTGCTGGGGAGGTGCACAGATACAAAGCTCCCTGTGCCAGGCTGCTCAGCACAGCCCCTGGAAGGATACCTTGTCCAGAGGGGCACAGCACAACCAAAGTTTTCTCCTGTTGGCTCAGGATAGCTGTCTTTCCACCTGCTCCAAGGTCTACCAGCATGGACAACTTGATCCTGTGCTAACCCCTTTGGAATGGAAACTTCTTTTGGTGCAGGGAGAACTCAGAGTGTGGGGATGTCACTCCTTCCAGATCCCCCACCCTGAGAGCTGCTCCTTTCCCAGCTCCCCCAGGATCTTGGTGGCAACACAACTCGTGAAGAACACAACTTGTGAAGAACATTACTTCATCACTACCAAGAGAGACCCTAGAGGTCTGCAAGTCTGCCCTGGATAATCTCCCTCCTTATTAACAGCAGACTGACACAGACATTGATCCACCTGTACTCAAATGGGTAAACTGTTTAATTTACAACAAGGGATTTATCTGGGAAAGAAGGAACATAATTTCATGCCTCACTGGGTTTCTGTGATCCCATTACACCAGTGGATGATTTTTCCTTTATATCAGTCAAGTATGAAGTAGGAGCTGGGGAGCAGAGAAGGGAGTGCTCATGAACTCCTGCCTGGGGAAGGAGGGAGGATCTGACCCAAGTTTAGTCTCAGTGCTAAGTAACTTCTTCCTTTTCCCAGAAATCTGAGGATCTACAGATTATAGTCACCCCAGCTGACAAACCTGTAGCATCCAAGCAGAAAAAGGGTCCCTCAAGCACCTCCTTGTTCCTGCTCCCTCAGAGCAAGGGCTCCAACACTTCCAGGGGGTCACTACAACCTTCTCAGAGCCACACGTGGGTGGGCAGGAGCAGAGCAGCCTGGAAGACAAAGGAAAGGCACTTCAGTAGCCTGAGGACTACCCACCTGCTCCGGCATCAAAGGCATGCTGCAGAGGGGAGGTGTGAGAGCTTTTCACAGGAGAGGCTGTCAAGATCTTTTTATAGATGGCAGTCAGCACAGAGAGGCTGTGAGAGGGTTTCTCCTCCCGTGCAGTTGTACAAACAGCTCAGTAGTCGGTTCCACGAGCAGCAAAATCACTGAAGTCTCCTCTCCTCTGCTTTAATGTGCTGCTGAAAGTGCTGGAAAATAATAAAAGGTGAACCCATACCAGGAGCTGGTCCCTCCCTGGGGACTGTTCCTTCTGCCAACACCTTCTCATGAGGCCTGGAGGGACCAGAGATGGGACAGAGATCAGCCAAGGAGTTCACCTCTGCCCAGAGAATGACAGAGGTTTCACACAGACACCAGACTTCTCCTTGTCCACAGAAATCACACCAGCAGCTGTTGCACAAGTGCTGTACTCAACAGACAACCTCTCTCTGATATCAGCTGATGTTTATTATGTGCTAACACCATTTTGTGCATCGATTAACAGCAAACCCAACACCTAAAGATCTATTTTAAGAGATTAAAAATGCACAAGGGGCTTCACACTCGAGTTATCTTTAAAGATGAACTATGCCACCACCACCTTAAACTGGTTCACAAGTACTTCACTTGGTGAGTTTTTTACTCTGCACCCAGATAGGCATCTCCTCAACAAGCCTGCCAGGGTCAGCCAAGCCCCATTTTTTCCCCCAACACTCCATGCACTTACAGCTTTACTTCTTGCTCTCATGTCTTCCTTTATTCATTTCCCTGCAGCCCCAAGAGCAAGGCTGAGCACTTGTGGACCTCCCAGCACTGTTCTGAAGTGGCCCTTGAGCTGCTGTGGGCAACAACTCTGCAGACACTCCAATCTGCAGGTACAAGGGAAAAAGAAAAACAGTTTAAAAGAAAAAAAGGAAAGAATCACACCTGTCACCCATCCACACAGGCTCTGGAGATGACTAAGAGCAACCCAACTGTCCTTCCCAGTTTCAGTGGAAAGGTTTTAGCCTTCAATATGGGCAGTGAAGACACAGTATTGGCTTCCTGGTGCAAAGCTATTTCTACTTTGGTCACTGTTGCCTGATCCACCAGCAGCTGGGCTGTCTGTGTGCAGAGATTCAGAAAGAGAAGGTGGCACAGCTAACCTCTGACATGCTGCAGCCCCAGTATGATTTCACCCAACCCACATTCTGGGGTGAAAAAAATATCCCAGAATGGTTTGGGTGGGAAGGGACCTAAAAGCCCACCCAGCTCCACCCCTGGCATGGGCAGGGCCACCTTCCATGAGCCCAGCTTGCCCCAAACCCTGTCCAACCTGGCCTTGGACAGTTCCATGGATGGAGTAGCCACAGCTTTTCAAACATCCCCAGTGAAACCCAAGAGCAGAGGGAGCACCCGTGGCCATTGCTCTCCCTCTGCTTTGGCCAAGGCAGCCTCCAAAAATGTTTCCAAACCAGGACCTGGTGGCATTGCTGACTTACAGCTCCATGACACAATGCCACCTTCAGGGCTGTGACAACCATGCTGGGAAAGGCCCACAGAACCAAATATCCACCTCAAAGTGTTGATCTACAACCCAGGACTAGACAGGAGCCCCTTGTCTTCTATCCAGCACTGTCTACTCTGAGCTCCCCAAGATGCTACAAATTAAATTATACAGACCCTTTTCCAGTCCAGCAGAGGAAGATTCAGAGCAGCAAACCACCTGGATGTATTTCTGAATGTAATTTTTATTGCACTACACACAAAGAAGACAACCCTGGTCTGAACCTGCCTGAGAACACATCAATGCAGACAAAGTTTTTCTGAGATTTTTTTTTCTTTCCTGTGAAATCTGTCCAGTCCAGCAGAGGAAGACTAAGAGCAGCAAACCACCTGGATGTATTTCTGAATATAATTCTATTGCACTACACATAAAGAGGACAACCCTGGTCTGAACCTGCCTGAGAAGACATCAATGCAGACAAAGTTTTTCTGAAGTTTTTTTTTCTGTGAAATCTCAGCAGAATTGAGACATGCTGTCACACTACTGAAAATGGCCTCTGGGAGATGAATATTCCCATCAGCCCCAGAGGACAGGCACAACTGTGCCTTCTTTCTGATGGAGTCCACCACCAAAGCCCAACACCTCAACAAAAATCATGGAATCTGATGGCTCCACAGGCATCCAGATGAAAACACCAGCCCTTGCCTACAATTCTTTGAGCTGTGACACTGGTTTTTGGACAAAACCAGAGACTTTTCTGAAAATTTATCACACACTTTCCATATTCTAGAGTCCTCTACTATTTCCTCCAGACTGTGTTTTACCTGCCTGACCTACAGGCCAAGATTATTTTATCTGCCTCTGAAGCCAACAAGCTCCTTCTGATCAGAACAATTTGGAAAACCCAGCAATGGAGCAGATGAAACCTTGCAGCTGGTTCAATACCCACAGCCAATTCCACAAGTTGCTCCAAAGTGAATAACAGGTCAGATAGGAACTTGTCAGGTTTTTAATTCATTTGGGGAGTGCTTCTTCCTGATGATCTATGAAGAACATGGGAAGGACTGATATTCCCTAAAAAACCAAACCAAAGTCAGTGAGAAAACCCTCACAGCCACGTAAGGGCATGGTGGCTCTGTAGGCAGGTGGCCTGGGTACAACCCTGCTTTCCTTTCAGCCTGGGTGCAACAGGCACCTCCATCTCCACGTGAAAGAGAGAAGCTGGCATCACAAACCACACAAAACCACAGCTGCCCCTTTTTTCCTGCAGAGGTACCCTGCCAGCAGCCCCATTTCTCAGCTGGAGGCGACCTGGAGGATGATGAACACATCCCAATGGATTTATTTTGTTCCCCAGTAAGTTATGTTGGATGAATTCCAGTTCTTGTGCAGGAGGAGCACTGTCCCAGCTGCAGCAGGCAGACCTGTCCCTTCAGGCTGGGGAATGGGACACTGAAGGTGAAGGCAGGAGCTGCTCCTGAACCCTTCAATCCAGGCTGGGATCCTAAGGAGGACAGGAATGTAATCCTGGGCTGTATCGACGAATACACCTAAACCACAGGAATTAACTGTAATTTACAAGCCTTTAAAGAGGCCCACAAGGGGCCAAGCCTTTGAAAAGCACCCGAGGCTGTTCTGAACAAAGTCTCATTGACTTTGGGCAGCCATTCTGCTGCTATGTGCTGCAAGCATCTCTAAAAATCCTACCCAGAGACAAAATGCAGCACAGCTGCTCTCTGCTCAAAACTACACTGAGCACAACACTCGGATGCTGCAGGATTTCATGGCAAGGTTTTTCTTTATTTCTGACACATCTTGGCCTCCCTCTGGCAAGGTCTGCAAAGAGGCACCAGTGTGGGCAAAGACAAAGCTCCAAAAAGAAATTAATCCACCACTGCTCCAAAACTGGCTGATTTGGCATGAATTCAGCATCAACATGGTCACAATTCAATCAGGATTAGAAATGAAGGGTGTCAAAAAGAACTGTCCACTTGGTGGGTTGGGCTGGCACCTCACAGAGGCAGTGGTGAGGCACCAACCCAACCTGCTCTCAGACTTTGCTGCCCCCTCTCCACCAGAAACCTTGAATTTTAGTCCCAGGGTGCAAGTCTGGAGGAATTTTGGTGCAGTCAGAGTGGTGAGGGATTGCTGTAGTGCCCTTGTTTGGGATAAAATGCCAGTCTGTACCTTCAAAATGAGTTTTCAGCCACAGTGCTCCTCAGACACGACAGAATATTTGCACTAACAAGCTTCTTGCAAGAAGAAAATGAAATGTTGCTGGTGTACCTGATATCTGCAGGTGGGTGAGGCACAGCTTTCCACAGAGCACTTGGGGGATATTCCAGTGATTTGCAGTGATGCCATGGTAAAAGAATAAAGGAAAAAGAGAGCACAATCGACAGAAATGTCTTTTGTAGCCTTTTTGCTCCCCCTCCCTGCCTGCTGCTGCCAAAATCCTGCTTTGACTCCTTGCCCCGTGGACAAGGCTCTCTCCTGTCGGCTCCATCCCCTCCACAGTGGGGACACCAGGGGGACAAGGGGCTTGCCAGAGGGACAGGGCCTTCCCAGGAGCAGCCTCAGCTCTGCTGGCAGGCACATGCAGCCGTCGCTGTGCAGCACAAGATGTCGTTGCTGTGCTGCTTTTGTCCCTCCTGCCCATCCCTGCTTCCCTCGCTGGGAAGAGCTCCACCTTTCCCACCCAGACCCCAGCAGGAGCGCTCCAGGTTGGTTCCCGAGGAGCATCCCACCTCCTCTGACAGCTCTGGGCAGGTTTCTCTTGTTAAAACACCAGCCTGGGAGGGAAGCACCCACCTTCTGCTCTCACCACTCATCCCTGTGTGTGTCTGTCCCCCCATGCCATGGGCACAGCCTGGACACGCAGGACTTGAGACACAAGCTGGGCTCTGTGTGGATTTTGTCCTGCCTGCACCTCGAGAGCAGGACTCCCAGCACAGCAAGACTGCTGGGATGTGATCTCGGGGACGCTGTTTCCCATGGAAAGCAGCATGCAGGAATAAAAGCCCACCTGTCTCGCTGCTGTGGCTGGAAGCTGTGCAGCACCGCTGGGGAGAGGCACATCAGTGCTCCTCCCAGCACCACGCTGGAAGGGGGGATTTTTAGAGCTGTGGCTAATTCTGCCTCTTAATCAGCTCCTGAACTTCACTGAGCCAGGAGGAGAAGGAGAAGAGGGACCTGCAAAGGTCAGCAGCTGGCCCAAGCCCACAGAAGAGAAGACAAGACAGGATTGTTACAAGGGATGAAACCAAACTTAAAATCTCCTGTAGCTGCCACAGGACCTTCCACATCCCACCTCTGGATAAAACCCCAGTCTTTTTCCACGGGGTAAATTTAAGTTCCATTTGGCGATGCCTAATTCAGCAGAAGCTCTTTTGGGACTGCAGTGCCATGCTGTAGGTAACCAGACACAGGCCTCCTGCAGGTGTGGCACTGACCACCCTTTCAAAAGCTATTGGATTCCAGAGGCATTTTGCACACACCAGGACAAAACCTGTGCTGCCGGTACCACTGCAGATCTGACAATATTTGGGATAGCCATTGCTCAGATTGATGGATTTTCCCTTTATAACATCCATACCTTTCAATATTCAATTTCTTTGGCAGAAGCACCCATCCAATCACATTATTTACTTTTTAAAGAATTTGTGAAGCAGCTACAGTAAATCCCAGCAGGAATTTCACACAAAGTGGAGCTCATTAATGAAAACCCCATTTTTTCATAGGATTTCAGGTCAGGGAAATTTTCCTGTGTGGATCTGATCCACAGCCCTTCAACTCCAGCCCCAGAGCTTGACCACGTGGTGGTGTTGGACTGCTCAAGAGGTTTGGACCTCTTGGACACACCAAAATGTTTTAAAGTTTTTTAAAAACTAAGTGCTCCTTCTAGGCCATGGTGTAGAACCTCCCCTGAGAGCTTTCATGGTGGATGAGCCTTAAGGGCCAACACAGAGTTTGGATGAAAAATAAATTCTGTTATCCTGGACTTTTCCTTTGACTATCTCAAGCATCCTTCAGTGCCCTGCCAAACTTTTAGTGGTGCCACAGGTCACTTATTTGTAAATCTTGCTTATATCTGGTGAATTTTTAAAGAGTGAAACTTTAGCACATTCTCTTCTGGAAACCCAGAAGCCCTTTACACTGCAGGAGGAAGATCCATACCCTCCTGACTCCTCTAAATCCTCCCTCACATGAAGTAAGCAGCAACTCAGCATCCTTTTAAACAACCTGCCAGAATCCCAGAGGAACTTTACACCCCTGCTCCCTACCCTTGGGCAAATGGCACAAAATAAAACTGCCCGTAGTCCCAGCCATGGCCCAGCATGACAAGGAAGCCAGAGCCCCTCTCAGGTTCAG